ACTTACGTTACTAATAGTATAGTGTACTACAAAGTATACGTACACACACACACACACACACACACACACACACACACACACACACACACACACACACACACACACACACACACACACACACACACACACACACAAATAACCACAGAGACAGAGTTCCGATTTCTTAATAAAAATAATTCATTTCAGGACGACATATAAATAATTATTGAATCACACAATACAGATATCTTGATATGAATAAATACTTAACAAATAAAACCAGGCTTTTTTTTCATACAATACCCTATTGTCGAAAGGTCACACAAAGAAACTTCCACACAGTTTGCATGTTTTGTTACACCTTCTGCTTTCAGGCTGATCGGGCTCATCCCACTGTTGGAATGTCCCTCAGCGAGTCGGAGTACCATTCCTAAATGCCTCAGACAAGTCATGTGCAACTTATATGATCTTCTCCCAGTCGAACTCAGCCAGAGCCCCAAACCTTGGTAGGGGTCCTGATGAGCCGACCACCAATTGGCCTTTCATTGATTAAGGTTTGTCTAGAGGTGATTAAAGCACACAGAGATCTACGTGCAGGCCGTCAACAGGTGGGCTGGCCCGACAGCTTTAGATACAGTTGAATGAAAAGGCAGACCGAGAGCCTGTTTGTCTAAGCTTTCTAACTACAGCCACAGATGGACATCTTCCTACAGCAGTGGACTTTCAGCAGAAGTACAAGGGGAATAACTGTTCAAGTTAAAATCATGTTCGAGTTTGGTTGATACATTTTTATACGCTTGAGGTTATCTCTGTAGATAAACAGTTCTTGGTATTCTGATAAAAATAGATATTCATGAGAGTTTGGGGATTTTCAACATGAGATAGCTCGATCTAGTGTGGTCACATGAAGTTAAAGATGTCTATCTGCGGCACTAGTTAGTTTCGAATGGTACAGGCTGGCCGTTTTTAAGGAGGTAACAACAACTGTTTGGCGATTGATGGCACATGTAAAAAAAACAAAACAGGAATGTCAGTTTTGCGTATTCCAGACGCACACATTTGTGCGTTGAGTGCGTGTGTATGAGATGAGGCATCGGGTTGGAAGGTCCTACAATACGGACCAAGATACATATTCACAAAAGCATTTTATAGGTGGGAGCACTGATGCAGCCTCGCCGATCAGGCTCCTCTGGTCCATAACATTTTTAATCACTACTTAAAGGCAAAACTTATTGAGGATCAGCCCCAATACTGTGCTGTTGTAGCAGCAGAACAAAAACACATTCAGATAAAGATTAGCCGAAGCAGGCGATGGGATTGCTCTCTGAAGTTATGAAATTGTCACCTTGGCACATCCAGTGAGGGTGGAGCAGAGGAATGCATTTCTTTATGGGTTTGTTTACCTACACACCACCTCAGGCTGGGGTGGAGTGCATACAATCTCACAGAGCTGTGTTTGCATGTATGTGATGGAAAGGTGGATAATCATCCTAACTTCGCCCTTCATTGTCTTCTCAGTTAAACTCGGCAATCCCCTTGTGACAGGACTGCTACTACATTGGTGTGCGCATGTGTAGGTGTGTGTGTCTATGCATTTCTAGGTGCTTCAGTGGTTAGTAAACAAGAAAACAACGTCCAAGGCAACAGATCTGTTTTGGAGGATAAGAGAGGAAATAAGAGGAAGGAGTAGAAAAAGAATGAGTCCTGTCTCTGCTGTGTTTCTCTGCCATCTGTCCGCTGACACCGCCAGCATGTTGGCTGCAATGGAGAGGCTTGTATTTCTGTACATGTAGCACCAAAACTAGCAGGGGCCTGCCCTGTCTGTCTCGCACTGTTTAGACACATGGTCTGTTCTCACTTTCCATACCAGGCAAGTCAAAACTTTACAATGCTAAGGTTAATTTGCCTTCAAATACACTGACGAATGGAAGAAAATTAATCATCGATAACTGTTTGATTGATTGCAGGAGCCTTGCTTGGCAAATCTTTGTCTTTTTTGGGAGGACATTCATGTTTTTTTGGAAAACTAAGCTAAAAAAATGGTGCATTTAGTTTTAAGCGCTTTAATTGCGTTGGTTTGACCCACTTTGCATCAATTCTGCTTACTACAGATTTGTTGCTTTGATCCCAAACTAATTGCATCCCTCTTTCTACAGATCAAATGCTAGACAGACAGGCAGATACACAGATGGGTGAAGACAGACAAACAGACGGGGGGTATAAATCCTTGGCTGTGGTCTAGAAAGCAATGTCAGATGCTTCTCGTTATGTCAACATACAATCATTTTGTCCGGCACGCTTCACCACGTACCTCTAAATACATATTGTACACAAGAGTTAAGTCAGTTGCTCTGACATGTAGTCAAACCTCTCACCGTGTAAGTGCACAGCGCACGTTAGATGATAATAATTGCACAAAGAGGTATTCTGGAGGCCATGTCTACTGCGAACACACACACACACTCAACCCCCCCCCACGTACACACACTCTTTCTTCACATTCTACATGGGGGGTTTGATTTTCAGGCCATAAGGTTACTAGTAGGTCACTAGCTAGTTAGTTAGTTGGTTAGTTAGTATCAGAGGTGCATTGACTGGCATGGGGCAGCGGCTCTAGCGATGTGTCACCATCGTTGTGGGTGTGAACGTGTTCAGTCCGGGTAAATCTCTTTGAAGTGGTAACACTCGTTGCAGTAGCCCTGTTTCTCTTGGTTGGCGTAGTGGTTGCAGCCCTGCGTCCGGCACCGCTGCTTGGACTTTTCTTTAGGCGCCTGCGCCCTCCTGCCCTGACCTCGGGTGTGGCACTCCGGGCAGAGGTCTGTGCAACCCGGGGACACATTACTGCAGCCACTGCGCCGGCACTGAGTCTGAGTCTGAGTCTGGGTTTGGGTTTGGGTTTGAGTCGGGTTCTGGGTCTGAGATTGCTGCGAACATCTGGGTTTGACGGCTTGGTTGCGCTGGAGAATGAGAAGGTGAACAAAGAGAAAGAGGAGAAAGGTTCAATTAGCAACTGTGGACCAGCAAGATATTACAAGAGTTGGACCCATCTTTATCTTCTTCGTTTATATAGACACATGTTTTTTTCTAGCAGTTTGATATGTTGTAAATGTATAATTTTTTTTAATTTACACACAACATCTATCGCACATCTGTCCGTCCTTCCTGGGAGAGGGATTTTTTCTCCATCTACCGTGGGATTTATTTGGGAGTTTTAACTTGTCCGATGTGAGGGTCTAAGGATAGGGGGTTTCGTATTTGTATTTCATGTTCTGCATAAACAGTAAAGCCCTGTGACACAATTGTAAAATGTGCGATATTGGGCTATATAAATAAACTTTGACTGATTGATTTAAAATTTACAAAATAAAAAAGATAAGACATATTAGACAAACATCAAATGGACAAAATTAAGAAGAGGAGAAGGAGAGAGAAAGGTTTGGCAGACACCCACCAGCACCAGAGGAGGGGAGTGTGGTGTGCGATGTGCAACTTGGTTGAGCCGTGTGCTTTGCTCTTTGACGTAGCACTTGTCACAGTAGCCCTCCAGCATCGCTTTGCCCACTGCCCCACAGCTGGGCCCGCGGCACCGTGACGCGTTCTGGAAGCCCGCCTCCACACCGTGGCGGTTCTGCACCGGGGCGGGGGGAGGGGTCAGGTCTGGAACAGATAGTGGCCAACATAAGCAATGTCCCAAAGGATTTGTACAGATAATTCCTACAATGTAGTAATGGTTTAACATTAAGGCCTTGATACGAATAGTTTTTTGTCTGAAACTCTGTAACATGATACGTTTTCCAGGTTAGTTTTAAGGACTTACGGTGGTTGGTCTGATAGTCTACGTAGCAGATAGTGCAGAAGCCCAGCTTCTCTTGAGTCCCAAAGAACTGGCATCCAGATCTTTTACAAGGCCTGGCCAGGGGGGCTTGCCAGGCTGAGGCGTGCCCCCCTGGGGCGAGGGTGGGTCCCGGCCGCTCAGTGTCCCTGGCCTGGATCCAAGCTGAAGACGAGGCCTCAGTCCTGGGGTTGTTCTGCTGTGGCTCCCCCATCTCTGGAGGTTGCTGTCTCTGCATGCAGGGTGGACACAGGCCATTGAATATCCTGAACGCCTCCTGTCTGCACATGCTGCAGCGCTCTGTCTCTGTCTCTCGGCCCCCCCACTGGCTCCAGCCGGAGCTCGGGGTCGGGTGGGGGACTGTGGGCCCCCCGTTGGTGCCTGGGAGAACTGGAGCAGCCGTTCCAGCTCCAGGGAGTCCGTGATTCTGCCTGGAGTTGAAGCAGCGCTCGCAGAGTCCATCATGCTCCACGCTGAGGGTGAAGAGGCAGCCGGGGGTCTTGCACTTCATGGCGTGAGTTTCGCTGTACAGGCTGAGGCTAGGGGCGGTGGGGGGGGCTGAGCGGGGGCTGGAAACCACTACCACCCCTCTCCCAGACGTGGAGGATAGGGGGCTGCTGCCTCGGGCTCCTCTCGAGCTCACCTCGGCCTCTGAACACCCGATCACCAACACCCCAGCTTGCCCCCCCCGTCCCTTGGACTGCACCACCCCTTCGATCCTCATGCCTCCGCCCGTTGTGGCCTGTCGCTTCTCAAAGCACTCGTGGCAGTGAGGTTGCGTGTCCACGGAGACGTAGAAGGTGCATCGTGGCGTGGCACATCGGATCTCGATGAGGGAGAGCTGGGAGACGGAGAAGGGTGGGGGGCGCTGAGGCTGGGCGGCCCACGCCTGCTCCTTGTCCTCCTGCCAGCGCTGGTACTCGTGGTTGACGAGCTGCAGGTAGTCCTCCATCAGGTTCATGTCCTCCGGGAGGTTTCCCTCATCCAGCCTTTCAACAGAAACATAAAGTGGGTTTTTAAATGCACTTTTGGGGATTTTGCTATATAGTTTTCTGATGCTGCTTTGATAACTGGACCATTTTACAATAAAAAATTAAAATTAAAAAAAATGTGTCCTAACCCTAACCTTTATTTAATATGCTATTTTTTGCACACTCCATGTTAATAATATCATACATCTATATGTTGCCCTTTATAGTGTATATTTCACAGACAGTTTACAGATATATATTTTCCACTTTCATTATGTATACGTTTGACTTTAAAGTTGTGTTTTTATTTTCTGTTTTGAGACTGCATTTAACCTTTGAGGCCCTAACTGGGTGTTAGCCATCTTTCACTCTCTTTCTCTTTCACTTTGAGTTAAAGAGCTGTAAGTACCGTGCAGCGTTGATGATCCGTGTAGCTTCGAGGCCTAAGCCGATGACGGGGATCTCTATCAGGTGCAGGTACTCTTTGAGGAGCCTCTCTTTCTGTTGCTGTTCTTTCTCCACCAGGAAGTGAACCGTCAGCTCCTCAAAGCCCCCTCGGCCCGGGTTGATTAGCGGTACCGCTCGGATTTCTGGGAAATTCACACCAGCACGTTATTCACATAGAAATAAAACATATCATGCCTCTTTCTCGTGTCAGCTCTTAACACCTAATACATGTTTAAAGTAGCCCTCCCAACCCAGGTAACGAATACAAGTAGCACACTTTGAGGTTCTTGTACTTAGTATAAAATATCTACTTGATGCTACTAAATACATCTCATCGGCTACAATTTGCGATCTAATTATATTTTGCAGTTTTAGTACAAAGTCTACAGAAGAATAGGTATGATATATTTTATAATATATTAAGGTCCTGGCAGAATATACATTCATTCAAAAATACCCTAACCTTTACCAGCTGCAACATTAAAGAAATGAACCCATTAATCACTAATTATGATCTATCCAGTTATAAGATTTAATTTTAAAATCGGACACCCTGCATCTTCATTACTTTTATTTAGTTATCTTTGTTTTGATGCAAATACTATTTAACTTGAGCTAACAGATGTTGGATATTAAAATTATATATATTTCCTTTCTTTGTATAATTTTATTTTTACTGAATGAATGGGGTTTAAATACTTTAAATGTGGGACTTTAACATGTTACAATGTCACATTTATTAAACAAAATTAAATTAATAAATACTTATTAAATATATTAAATATTATACTTACCTAGGCCTAAATATAAATAATAATATATACATATAATTAAAGAAAAAAAAGACATAGAATAACAAATGGGGAAAATCATTAGTCATCACACATATTTGCCATAAATTACCATTTATTTATTTCCCCACTTTCTCTCGCCATATCACCCAGCCTTTTTGTTTGTGCCTAGAGCTTTGCATATCATATCCATTGTTTGGCTGCTTGTAATATTAGAGGAAAAGGTGTTTTTTACATAGCCACCTAATTCTGTTGAATCACACATTTAAATCATTAAACCATTTAACCCTGTAATTCCAGAACATGCTCTCCTCTCACAGCTATCAAGCTGTGCTGCTCTGACTGAACAGAAGATGGCGCTGTGGAATCACATTTGACCTTCAAATCCACTGCAGTCAAAGGAGCTGCACTGAGCAACAATGCATGGTAGAAAACACATTTACCCACATGTTGATGCACCGAGGGAGCATGAGCTGTAATCAGAATTATTTATGCTTATTGTTTTTAAGAGGATTACATGTGTGCTTGTTTCTCGTTCAGCTGATGTTTAATGTTCTGTGTTATTCTCTCAAGGGAGCTGCAGTCTCAGGAAGCAAAATTAAGTTTATTAAAAAGAGGTTCAGCATGAGTGATGGGATTGTGAATCTGACAAGCAACATAATGATCTGATGAGCCTAAAAAATAGATCAACTTATTAACTGATGCTGCTGAAAAGTTTTACAGAAAATATACATTTCTAATGCAAAGGTATATATGCATACTGATCACATATATATGCATGTATAATTGGTCTGGTTCCTGTGTTTTTATTGCATACATTTGCATATTTAACAATATATTCTTCTACTACATCATCTATGAAATATCCTCTATTTTACATATGTTTCAAGGGTTTATTGCTGCCAATGAAAAAGTGACACAAGAAACTGTGGCTTTTGGCAGCATGCATAGGCCTACGAACAAACACTGAAAACAAAATAAAATAGGTTAATATGAGCTTGTGTGGTTAGTGCAGAAAAGTGGATTGATTAAAATAGACACATGAACGCTTCTGAAATGCAGTCTGTGGAGACACATTATAATTCAACCACTACATTACATTTAATGAATTATTAAGTGTCTTGAAAATCATTCCTATCAGCATCAATGCTTTACGAATCCCCACACATTTTCAATAGGAAATACTTCAACAAATATTTTTACAATTAGAATTTTGTGAATCATTTTTTCATTTTCTCCTCTCATATGCTTAACATCCCTTTTAACATTCAG